GCCAGCAACAAGAGGTAGTGGTCGACGTGGTGCGAGTTGTCCCAACCAAAGGCGACCGGAATGCCCGTCGCATTGGCAAAGCTGTACCCGTCCAACGATTTGACATTGTTCGAGATGTTGAAGAAGTGGGCCACGACCCAGAGCCGCATAAAGAAGAGTCGATTCAGGCTGTTGACACTAGCGACGTAGTTGTGGGTGTCCCATGGCGTGCTGTGTTTCGAGCCATCCGTGGTCACAATCGTCTTGATCGTGGACTGCGCGACGTTGACAGGTCCGTCCGCGGTCGGGATCGTCACCCCCACGAAAGGACGGGCGTCGGAAAACGTGCTGAGGAGGTACGCTCCAAATGGAAAGTCGTCGTTTCCAATCGTCTCGAGCGCCGCCATCCCTAGAATGGCTTGCTCACCAACGGGATGGCAGTCTGGGAATATGTCGCCGCCAACGACGAACATGACGGTGGCCCATGCCGCGTTTTCGTACCCGCCGATCAGGCAGGTCGTGACAAACACCTGACCGTCCGACTCGTTTCGAAGCAAATCCATGGCCAGTTGCGCGCCGATGCTGGCCCACGCAACATCTCCAGTCGACTGGACTTCCTCGTCGTCGCACGTGCCAGGCACAAACCCCAATGCGTCGAGGCGGCACGACTTGAACATGGGATTCCACTTGTCGAGAGCCATCGGACGAATCCATTGACTGTAAAACATGCCTTGATACAGAAGCAGCAACACCAAGACGCCCGTGCCAAGAATGAGCACCCCGGCGAAGATGTTGCTCAGCACCCGCAGCCATTTCGAAATGTACGTAGCCGAGAGCTTTGGCCGGGCTCTCCGCCGACCTCCGTTGTGCTGACCGGCCATCGGTTTCGCCTTCCAAAAACGTCGACGGCGCCCCGTTTCAGAATCGCGCGCAGCTCCGAGCCATCCTGCATGCGACGGATTCATGTACCTGCCCCTGCACCACGGCGTGCCGCGGGTTCCAATTAAAGGGGCGAGCCGTCCAGATCGATTGTACATGTATATTAGGTTATGTAAATGTGCACAGCAGGTTGGGATGGGTTATGTTTCCTTGCCGAAGATCGATGGCGTCGGCATCAACCGAAGAACGAGGCCGAGGGGCAGCGAGAGGAAGCCCACGCCGATGCAAAATAGCCACTGCGCCGCGTCGAGCTCGATACACGAGAACGGTCGGCCGCCAAACTGGACAATCAGGACTTGGCACACCACTTGGAAGATGGAGATGTTGAAAAAGATGGCGCTGTCGACGAGGCCCTCAAAGATGTTGATTTCGTCATGGATTTTCCGGCAATTGAGTTCGTTGAAGAGCTGCAAGAACACGAACGTGTTGAAAATGATCGTGTAGTGCACCGACATTTCGTTCTTCTCGCCAGGGGGCTGGTCCCACAGCCGACCGCTCGGGATGTCAAAGATCTTTTCGCCCATGAAGAGTAACAAAATCAACACGACGAGTTGAAACACGGACTGGCCCACCAAGTGCTTGATCATTTTCGGGCTCATCAGCGGCTGCGTGCGGGGATACGGCTTGCGCTCAAGCAGCGCTTGGGTCGGCTTCTCCGTCGCGAGGGCCAGCGACGCAAACGTGTCCATGATCAGGTTGACCCACAGCAGCTGCACGGCACTGAGCGGACTCTCTTCAATCGCAACGGCCCCGAGCACCGCCAACGTAATGGCAACCAAATTGACCGTGAGCTGGAACTGCAGAAACTTGGCAATCGAGTCGTACACGTTGCGACCCCACTTGACCGCGTTCACGATCGACGTAAAGTTGTCGTCCATGAGAATGATGTCGCATGCTTCCTTGGCCACGGCCGTCCCACAGATCCCTACGCGATTCCATGACGGTGGGGTGGTCGACATCCTCCGTACCCATGGCGAACCCAACGTTTGCCTTTTTCAACGCCGGCGCATCGTTTGTCCCGTCGCCAGTCACCGCGACGACTTGCGGTCCGTATGGCATCAAGTTGGATTGTTTGAGGCCCGTCACGAGCGTATACTTGTCCTTGGGCGACGATCGTGCGAGGACGCGGAGGTTGGGCCAGATCTTGTCGAATTCCGACTGAATAATCTTGCCGTCCTTGTCGAGCACGCGGGACCGGAACTCGGATCCTACAATTGCCATATGACGTTCAAGAGGTCGGTGCTTCCAAACTACCTTCCATCGTGATGGCGCCGTCGTTGGGCTTGAGGATGCCACACTTGGCGGCAATGCTGCGTGCAGTCATAATGTTATCTCCCGTCACCATGCGAACGATGATGCCGGCGCGGTTGCACTGACGAATGGCCTCCGGGACTTCGGGGCGGACAGGGTCTTCAATTCCGACAATCGCCACGCACGTCAAGTCGGTCTCAATGTCGTCGTCGGCCCACGTCTTGACTTCGTCCGTCGAAATGTCCAAGTCGCGAATGGCTAGACACAGCGTGCGGTACCCCTGCGACGCGTACTTTTCAATGATGGTGCGCCCGATCTCGTCCTTCTCGCCGTCGCTCAAGTCGGCGACCGACCCGTCGAGCCGCTTGACCTTCTTGCACAGTCCCAACACCACTTCGGTCGCGCCCTTGCAAAACACTCGACTGTTGACGCCTCGCTTTGCCACGACGCTCATGCGCTTCTTCTTGCTGCTGAATGTCAGCATGTGGCTGACCGGGCTGTCTTTGCGCACGGCCGCGTAGTCCACACCCAAGTCCTTGCAGAACGACAGCAGCGCGCACTCGGTTTTGTTTCCCGTGTGCTCGAACTGACCGCCAGGAGTCTTGGGGGGGAGAATTTCTGCCGTCGAGTTGAGTGCGACGCCGTGGCCAAAGGCTTCTCGCAAACTGTCGGAAATTTCGCCTTGCAATTGCGACGCGGCGCTGTACTCGCGCCCGCCAATCCAGCACTGCATGACCGTCATGCGATTCGTTGTCAGTGTGCCTAAGAGACGAGGTCACCCCCGACACATGTACCCGACGGAACGTACCAGTCTTGTCGGAGCAAATGGTAGTCGCACTGCCCATGGTTTCACACGCGTCCAAGTGGCGCACCAAGTTGTTGTCGAGCAGCATCTTCTTGACCGAAAACGCCAGGGAGATTGTGACGGCAAGTGGCAGCCCTTCCGGGATCGACACGACCAGCACCGTGATGGCCGTGATGAAAAAGTGGAGGTAGTCGGTCGCGTACGCGCGCTTCCATTCGTTTTTGCCGTCGCCAAACGTTTCGATCGAAAACCGAATCGTCATGGCCAAAAACACAATGACCGCGGTCGTTGTGCCTCCCTTGGCGATCTTGACCGTGAGCTTGTTGAGCTTGTCCTGGAGCGGACTCTCGCTCTCTTGCTCGTACACTTCGTCGCTTTCGTTCTTCTTCTTCACTTCGACGTCGTGGACGGGCCCGACAGCGCTTTCCTTGGTTTTGCTCTTCTTTTTCTTGTCGTCGCCTTCGTTCGCACCTTTGCCTTGAACAAGCGACGAAATGATCCCAGCTTGGGAATTCACCCCCACGCACATCACGAGCATCTTGGCCACGCCCTCCATGACTCTTGTCCCGCTGTACAGAACGGGGGCTTCGACGCGGGTCTTCTTGAGCAAGTCCGACTCGCCTGTCAACGTGCTTTCGTCGATCTTGATCTCGCTCTCGTCAAAGATGATCCCATCCGCCGGCAAAATGTCGCCCAAGTCGACGCGCACAATGTCGCCGACCAAGAGGTGGAATTTCGACACTTCGCACGGGACGCCATTCCGGATCACCTTGATTTTTTCGTCTTCTTTGACCGCGTTCAACGCTGCAAACTGCTTTTCCTTTTGCCAATTGTTGATGGCCGTCACGCCCGTGACGAGCAGCACGGCGAACAAGATGGACGCGCCTTCGATCCATTCTGCGGACTGTCCTTCCATCGTTGCGCCAAGGATGAGCGACAACAGCCCAGACATCGACAGCACAATGATGGTTGTGTCGTGAAATGCTTCCCACATGAGCTCCAGGATCGTCGCGGGCTTGGGCGGGGCCACGTAGTTTTTCCCAAACACGGCCTCGCGCTTGGCCAGGTCATCTGTTCGGGACGTGTCGAGCCCGTACGTGAGACTGGTCCCAATGCCTGCTGCGACGCCTTCCGTTCCACCTGCACTCTTGAGCGCCTCCTCGATTTTCTCGTGTGGCGTTTCGATGAGCTTGATCAAGTCGGTGGTGGTGAACTTATACCCGCCGCCATCGTGGCTCTTGATCATCGTGCAGCTGCCGGCTTCACTCGCGCTTGGCCGTCTCTGGCGTCCCTTCGAAACACGAATGGCCTCCCCGGCTGCAACTGCTCGAAACTCCCCCCGAAACTCCTGCGCCAAATTTGGCCGTCATGGCGGAACCGTCATCGCTTGCAAAAACTCGCGGATTCTGATTGGTTCCTGCGTCCATTTGGGGGCTTCGGATTGGCTGAATCCGGAACGAACGGGCGATCGTTCAAAATACATGCACGCGGGTTTGCCGAGGGCCAGCGCCACGCTGTTTTGCCAGATTTATATATAGTTGACGCTTGGCATGTCCGTGACATCGCACGCCAGTGCACGAGGCCGACGACACCGAACACCCACGTGTCCATTCGTCACAATAGCGCCGTGTGGTGTCGAAATAATCCCAAGAGTATACTTTTGTAGAGTGACTGTGATATTTTATAGTGTGATGTTCCGAATACCTGTAACATTTTATAAAGTCACTCGCGGACGAGGGGAACCGATGGCGACCGACGTGCAAGCGCTGTTTGTGGAGCTTCAAACGCAGCTCCAGCGCGAGAACTACCAGAAGGCGATTGACACGTGCAACAAGAGTGCGTCACGTTGTATGTGATTGTGCTGACGCCAGGCTTGTAGTTCGAGCGAAGGCGCCAAACGACACGGACGCGATCCGCGTGAAGGCGCAATGCTTGCTTCGCACGGGAAAGGTACGTGCGTGAGTCTCATGGCGTGCTTGAAACCGTGTTGGTGTAGTTTGACAAAGCGTTGGAAATCGCCCAGAACGTCAAAGGACTCGAGCTTGAACGGGCGTATTGCCACTACAAGCTGAAGCAAGTTCGTCGACAGTATTGCTGACTCGGGCTCATATTTTATGCGCAACGCCCGTAGGTGGAAAAGGCATTAGAAGTTTTGTCTGATATGGCTGAGCCCAAGTCGAAGTCAGCGCTGCATTTGGAAGCGCAGGCGGTACACTCGTCCCCCCTCTCTATTCTTCGATGATTGTCTACACGCAGCACTACCGCCTCAACAACTTCAATGCGGCCATTCGCATATACGAAGCTTTGCTAAGCAATGCCCATGCGTCAGATGATACGGTCGAACTCAAGACGAATCTCATTGCCGCCTACGTCGCTGCCGGACGTGGCGCGGAGCTTCAGGCTCGTGGGCTGGAGGTTGGTGAACTCTTTTCGACGCATTGTTTCATATCGTTTCGCTTATAGACCGAAGACAGCTACGAGATCGCGTTTAACAAGTCCCTCGTGGCTCTGCAAGCTGGCGACGTGGTTGCCGCAGGCGACCAACTCCGTCACGCCGACCGTCCGTAAACTCTAGATGGTTTTCTGCATCGATTCATGATGGGTTGTAGAACTGTGCCGCGACTCGTTGAAGGCTGAGGGTTACTCGTCGGCTGAAATTGAACAAGAGGCAGCGGTCATCCGAGTCCAAGAGGCGTATGTGGCCCAAATCACGGGCGGCGAGGACCGTGCTTTGGAGACATTTCGTCAAGTGGCCAAGTCTGTCGACGATATGTTGCTGCAGAATCTCATCGACTGGTAGGTCTTCAGCGGATACCGGACTCGTAGCCGTAGCACAAAACAACATCGCGACAATCCAGCGATCCAAGGACTTGTTCGACTCGCTCAAGCGCCTCCGAAGCGTCACCAACGACACGCTTCGTGAAAAGTGCTCGTCTGCGCAGCATCAAGTGATCCTGGCGAACACGGCTCTGGTTCTCGCGCTCATGCACAAGGTATCGCCGTCAGGTTGGACACCGTGGATCACCTCGCCACTTGTAGTATGACGAAGCCCGGGACGCCGTGGACGCCCTTGCCCAGCTCTTTCCCGACTCGGCCTACCTCCCACCCCTCCAGCTGCATCTGGCGCTTGCTGAAGAAGATCCGAGTGCGCTTCCATCGTTGGTCGAGACGTTGAAGGGCAGCAAGACGTCGTCTGGACTGCTGGCTTTGGCTCATCTCCACTGCCGCCTCGGCCACCCCGGCAAAGCCGCCGACGCCCTTCGCCTGATCCCCGAGATCCAGCACACCCCCGGAACGGTTGCAACGCTCGTCGCTCTCTACGACGCTGCTCTGGATGCCAAGTCCAGCGCCGCTATCGTCGATGCGGCTGTGAACCACTCGTCTTCCGCCGTGCTCCTCGAAGGCGACGGCATCGCGAAGCTTCGTCAAGGCCAGTACGCCGAGGCTGCAGCGGCCTTTGCGCGGCTCTTGGACTTGAGCGATGTCGAACCAGAGCGTCGCGTTCGCTGTCTCGCCTACTGCGTTGTTGCGCTGTCGTATGTGGACCCGTCCGGCGCCTCCACTCGGGCGGCCACTCTTCCCGCCATCCAGTCCAGCAACCTCTCTGTGGAGGACCTTGTCCGACGCGCTCCGCGCCCTCGAGCTCCTGCTGTGGTCACGGCCCTGGCACCCAAAGAGTATGAAATCCAGTTGGATGATAGTCCTGATGAGTTCGAGTAGGAAGGCAAAGAAAAAGGAGAACCGCGAACGTGTACTGCGCAAGCGCGCCAAGCGCAAGGCTCAGTTCATCGCGTCTTTGAAGGCCAAGCCGGACTACAACCCGCTCATTGGGCTCGTGAACCCGGATCCGGAGCGGTGGATCCCGCGCAAGCAGCGCAGTCGCCGCGGCCGCAAGAACCGAGGCAAGTTTGTGGGTGCTCAGGGATCGGGCATGGGCGCTCAAAAGGACGCGCTCAAGTTGGACGCCGCGGCGCGGGCGGCAGCCAAGAAGGCTGCTCCTGCCGTGGAGAAAGGCGTTCTCGTGACGGACGGACCGTCGATGAATCGTAAAGCTCGGAAGCGTCGTTAGGTCTGACTGAAAGGGCCGCCTCTGCCGCTCCTTAATCAAGAGAGTGAGAGTATGCTGCAGTTAGGATTACACCGTGGTGAATCGAGGCGCCTTGTCGCGGAGATAAAACAACTTCGCCCGTCGAACCTTCTTTTGCCCGTTCGAGATGAACTTTTCCTTGATCATCTTGACAGACATCAAGAGCGGAGAGTGCTTGAAGATCTTCTGTTCGTAGCCGCATTCGGCGATGTGGTTTCGAATCGTGAACGAGCTCGCGATGCCGCGGTTGCGTTCGGCAATCACAACGCCCTTGATGCGTTGAATCTTTTGCGTCGTTTTATTGAGCATGAGTTCCACCTCGACGGCATCTCCAGGTTTAAACTTGGCAAAGTTGTCGCCAATGCGTTCCGTAGCCTTGGCAACTTCTTCTGCATGGAGCTGTCTCATGAGGTGACCTGCACGGCGCGAAGGGTGATTCAATTTGGTCTTGACTCCCGTCGAGAAAGCCCGCGTCGCCAGCGACTGAAGCATGTTGGAGTTGGGACTCTTGGCAAATGCGGCGGCGCGTCCGCCACTTGTATGGAGGTGATGGTGCAGCCAATCAAATCTCCCTTTATTGCATTCCACCAATCAAGTCATAAATGAATATTTTAATTTATGACTAGAATTCTGTATGCAATTTGAAGGAAAATTATCTTCCCTTCAAATGAAAATACATATATTCATTCAAGTTACATACAAAATTCTAGACATAAATTCAAATTTTCTCGTATGATTTTGCATTCAGCGGAAATCGAATGACACAATTCAACGAAATACGACATCCACGACAGGATGGGGTTCAAGATGGTGGGCGATCAGTCCAAGGTGCTGCTGGGAGTGATCCTTGGAGCTGGGATCTGCTACATCCCTCTTTTCTGGAGTAAGTGCGCCGTGCAATCGATGTTGCTCACCTCTGATGTGAATGCTTCCAAAGAGACTCGCCGAGGCCACGACCTCTTCTCACAAGAAAAGCCCGAAGCCGTGTATGAAGCCGAAGTCAAGAAAGTTTTGGACCCGTACAAGAAAAACTAAGTGTTTACACCATAGAGATACGTGCATTGCTGCTCTTGCGTTCTTTTGAGCACTCGGGTACCAGGGGCCGTCGTGGCCCTGCAACCACGAAAATACGATGAGTTGCAGCAGATATCGCGAACCAGCTCCTTGTTTCCTAACGAGGACATGCTAATCGAATCGTGACGCATCTCCAGCGATGGAATTGTGCCTGACTTGGTCCAAGATGGCCGTTGCTGCGACATTGGACGGGAATCTGAGGGGAGATTGGTGGCTCCGACCATCAATGCAAACTTTACAGACCGAGGCCATCCACGAACATGTACGCATAGTTGATTCCTCCATTGTCTGTGCCGTCGACATGTGCGTAACCTTGTCAGGAAGAATTCCGCAGTCCACAACGCGGAACCTTTCTGAACGAGTACTACTTTATAAAGGATATTTTTAATATAGCAGGTTACAAACCGACAGTAAATTTCACATTGTTAAATTATTGAAATCCACCCTTGGGACAATATCCATGCTCGATTAGTCTGCGGTCAAGATGTTTCCTCAGTTCGGCCAGACTGGCGGCGCGCGTGTAAGTTGACCCGTCCATGCAAGCATGCTGTGTTGCTGCACAAACGTGATTAGACCTCACTGGTGGAGTTCAACGCTGGGAAGATGACTGCCGTCCCAAAGGAACCAGGCAGTACCAAGCTCCTTGTGACTCCCGACATTCAGAAGGGCAAGATCGTGCTTGTTCGCGGCGACGATCAATTGCTGCACTTTCAGTGGAAGAACCGGACGACTGGTGCCAACGTTGATGTATGTCTTGATCGCTGGCCGAGCCTGATGCGTGTGCATTAGGACTACATTTTGTTCCCCCACGACGCCACATTCGAAAAAGTGGACACATCCCGGCCCAACGACCGCGTGTATATTTTGCAGTACAAAGCGTCGTCCCGCCGATTCTTTTACTGGCTGCAGGTATGATATCCGCGCATGTGCCCTCGACTACATGGACGAATCCAACTAGAACAAAGACTCGTCGAAAGATGCCGAGCTGACGAAGAAAGTCAACGACCTTATCAACACCGCGGCGCCCCAGGCAACTGGCGGGACTTCCGCACGTACGCCAGGTGGTGGTGCTGCCAGCGGTGGAGGTCAACTGGACCACAACGCAATCATGCAAATGCTAGGGTGAGTACGACCCAGATCTTGCCTGATCTGAAATGACTGCAGCGCCTTGGGCGGAGGCCAGGAAACGACCGGCGGAAACGGTGCACCCAACGCAGTTCAAATGGCAGAATTGCAGCAAATCCTGCAGCATATGGGTATGCCCCAAGGTATGATGACCGGCTCCACCTTGTCGAGTACCAACTGTGATATGATCAGGAAGCACCACGAACACGGCATCCCCCGTGAGCTCCCCCGTGCCACACGACCACGATAGCGGCCACGAAGACGAGGATGACGAAGGTCATGACGATGTAAACATGGAAGAACTGAGTGAGGAAGAGCTGCTTCGGCTCGCCATTGAAGAGAGCATGCGCGACGTCCAAGATCCCGACGAAGGAGGTGACGACGAGTAGATCTTCCTAGCAATCGACTCCAAGGATTTCCAGTGTTAATCAATGGACTTTCGCATTAGTTGCGCCCCCTTCCGTTCCTCCCACGGCGGCTTCCAGTGGAGGCATTCAGCTGGCCGACTTTCAGCGCGCGATGGCGTTGGCCCAACAACAGCATGTGCGTCCGAACGAAATGTTATCCTGCTGAGTTTACAAAATGGAGTAGGCTCATCGACCAGTCCACATTTCCATGACGCAGCTGCTCCAACAGGTACCTGCCTCGAATCGCCTACTACGACGTACCTGCTAGACGCGATCGTAGCCTGCGGTATTTGAGCTGTTGCATGACCCCGAAGTCCAAGCGGAACTTTTGCCCCACCTCCCTGATTCGATGCAAACCGTGGACGAGCTCCTGGACACGGTACGGACGTGGTAGGATGTCAAGGATTCATGTACATGTAGCCTCGCACGCCGCAGCTGCAGCAATGCATTGGGGCTTTGGCGCATGCCCTCAACACGAGCAATTTCGACGGGATCTTGTCCAACTTTGGCTTGAACCCCGCGGCAGGACAAGAACACCTCCTTCGTGGCGACGGTATGCATGACACTAATGTACGTAGAAGCAATTCTCAGTCATTGTATTAGGCATTCGGGCCTTTCTCGCGGCGATTCAAGACTGGGCGGCCAAGCAGAACGGTAGTTAGGCCGCGAGAAGCTCCATCCACCTTTCAACATGACGATCTCGACTTGTTTGTTGATCGCTTCCCACAACTTGATTGGCTATAAAACACAATATTAAAATTTCATAGCATCAGGATTTCGTGGTGAAGCTTTGTTTAAGTAAGGTGGCCATGGACATAATTTATGCACTAGACGAATTTAAACCAATCCGAGACCAGTATTTCATATGAGCAAGAGTTTGAAAAATTTGAATCCGGCAGCATCCCGTTGACATGGCGACGTACGCAGGGACAAACGCGGCTGATGCTGCTGGCCAGGAAGAAACAGTGGCAGAGGTCCTCGCCCATATGACGGAAGAATTGGGCAACGAAGAAGCCCATGCGCACGACGGAGTGACTGATTTTGTCAATGCAAACAGCTCGGCAGGCGACAACGATGGATTGTCCTTGCTGTGCAGCGAAGAAGATGTGGACTCCTCCATGAGCCCCATTCATGAAGAAAGCGAAATGTTTAACTGTGACGGAGACGAGAGTGCTGCTCGTGAAGGCCATGATGAAAGTGAAGAGGCGGACGCATGCGATGTCCAGCAGCCGAATCCAACAAGTGCGTCTGTCGAAGGTATCGATCCAGAATCACCTGTGGACGTTGCTGCACCTTGCGAAGTGTCGAATTTGATCGAAGCATCCAATAAAGCGCGCGAATCGACATGCGAAGTGACAGGCGTAAAAGCGAACGCCTCCATATGCGAACCCCTCGTTGTCCAAGAGGATTCCGTCGACGCTATTGACTCCGACGTCCGTCCACACGGAGAAACGAAAGAAGACAAGAATGAGTCGGTCGAACCTCCAGTTGCGGCCGACGGCATCGCTCATCCAAATGATGCCATAACAACTCCATCGAAATCTCACGCTACACGTGCCTCAACGTCTTCAGTCCATGGTACTCCAGCTCGAACTCCTTCCCATTCGACTCCAGCGATTCCTTTGAACGCCCCATCGTGTTGTGACTTTACCGACCGCCTTGTTGACGAGAACGTTCAGTACCAGAACAACGGCGATGGATTCTTTGAGGCTGCTTCGACCAAGCAGATGCTTCCCTCATCTACCAAGAAGCTGCCTCTGACCCATCCCACATCTCCTGACCTTCGCAGCGCCAAGCGACACTTCCGCTGCGTTGACCACGGCTGCGCCCAAGACACCCCCCAGGATACCACCAGGAACCTCCATCTCGAAAACTTGGTGTCGCGGGAGAACACTTCATCGACAACTGTCCCTCGTCACATCAAGCGAATGCCCACCGAACCGCATTCTCCGTTCCTTCTCACCGCCCAGCGCGCCAAGCTCAAACCAGTCGAGCATGGCACTTCAGAAGCGATTCATATCTTCCAAGCGGCCGAGCTCATGCGGCGAGATCATTCCCCTCAAGTGTATGTCGCCAAAACTACGGTGCCCCACTCACCCTTTCTTGCCACGGCCCAACGAGCCAAGATGCACCCCAACCCTGCGCCTTCAAAATACGACGGTGGCTACATCGACCCTGCCACCCTAGTGCAGCGATCCAGCCATCATACCGACAAGGAGAATGCTCAGCACGTGTCTCTGCCACGGTACACTCGGCCACAGTCACCCAATCTCCACACCAACAAACGCACTCGCACCCCACTCGAAGTCGAAGACGTCGATGGGATGGAGCTGGCAAAGCCCTTCCACGCCAACCCGATGCCTTCTGTCAAGCGTCGGAAAGTTGTGGCCCCGAGTAGGACGACAACGACAATACCAGTGAGCCCCAATTTGGAGAGTGTGCGCCGACACAAAGCGTATCAGGAAGAGTTCCATGTCAAGGTCCAAGCCGACCTCGAAGCCGCCTCGTTGAAGCGTGTCTTCAAGGCAGCTCCGCTTCCACTGTATAACACTGCGCAAGGTCTCAACTCCAATGTAAAGCGCATGCCTTTGACAGAGATCGAGCCTTTCCACATGCCTGGAGAACGCTTTGACGAGCTGGCCAAGGAGCGTTTGGCAAAGCTGAAGATGGAGGAGGAGAAAGCGCGATTGCAAAAGATGGTGTTCAAGGCGACGCCTATCATGACCGGGAGTCGGACCTTCCTCTCCAAGAAGGTAGAAGCCAAGCCGTTGACGGAATGCGCAAGTCCAGACCTGGCGGTGAAGCGCCGCGCCATAGCACGTGCCGAATTTGATTCCAAGGACAAAGCACGGCGCGACATGGAGGAAGCGGAAGCGCGGCGGAAGATGGACATCGCCAAGGAACAAGATGCGATTGCGCTCAAGGCGTATCGAGCCACGCTGAGTTTCAAGCATCATACGTAAATGCTTGCGTTGGTATAAATGGCTTTATTACATGTAAAAGTCGAGCAGGAATTTCTTGTAAATCGTCATGAACTTGGCCAAAAACGCTTCGAGGTGGAAAATCGGCTTTTGCCCGCATTGCATGCGATGTTCCTACGCAAAATGCGCATGACGCACTCGAGAGATTCATTCCGGACGTACATAGAAGGCTGCGTAGTGGGCGAGGTCGTGCTTGAGGTCGTCGTCGAGGCGTGCCGTGAGTTCGCGGCACAGAACTTTGAGGATGACGTCCGGCGGGATGCAGTTGGACAAGAGTTCATAAAACTTGTCTCGCGCGCGAAGGAGGCTGCCTGGGCTTTGTTCCTGGAGGACGTCCTTGGCAAGCCCACAAATATACTCTTCCCACTCGGGCAGCTGAATGGGTTGCGTCGGAGAGAACGGGTACTGCTGCACACGACAGGTTTCCAGCATAAGCAGAGCGCGTCGGAGGTTTCTCTCTGATTTCTTGGCAATCTCAACCGCAAGCGGTGGGCAGAAAGTCAACGATTCCTTCTCGCACACTTTTTGGAGGACTCGCGTGATCTAGCCGTACATTCAGTGGATGAGCCAGGCAAATAATGGAACTTTACGTCGTCGTGAGTTGGAGCCCCGATGCGAATGCCGAGGCAACGGCTGCGTAACGGATCAATCACCTTGGACGGACTGTTGCAGCACAGAATGAGGCGGCACGACGCCGTGTACTTTTCCATAGTTCGACGCAAAGCATGCTGGGCGTTCTTGGACAGCGAATCCACTTCGACTAGCACCACGACCTTGAAATTCTTGGTCGCATTCGTGTCTGCGAGACGGTACATGGCAATCTCCTTGATGAGTTCCTGGACCACCAATTTGTCGTCGTTGCCGACATCTGACGGGTTCATTTCAATGTGGTAGTTGGAAGCCACTGTCGTGATCTCCACTTTTGTGCTTCTCGACGGGTGCTTGAACGTCTTGTGCTCCAATCGAGTCTTTAGTGCATTGGGCCCGTACAGTTCTCGAAGCAGGGCCATCACACGGGTCTTCTTCCCAGCCCCAGATGGACCATAGATGAGAAGATGCGGTAGTTCTTCGGACGAGGCGAGGCGCTTCAGTCGCTCGCTGATGTTTGGGTGGAAGTCTAGGCGGTCGAGGCTCGTCGGCCGGTGTGCGTCGACCCACAGCATGACGACAGGTTGGATTTGGTTTCCCGCGGGTGGGAAAATGCATGGCACGTTCAAGACATTCATCAAAGTATCTTGATTCAATTAAGTAATGAAATAAACCCCGAAACCCCGCATCACGTGCCAAATAAACAGACATTTTTGTTTTTTGGACAGATGCTGATATTTGGTTTAAAGTATATATCGAGATTTCGCAGGTGTATTTTAAAACTTTTTGTGACCTAAAGTTTGCAATTTGGTGAGGGCAATGCCAGAATTGGCGCGATGGAACTGGTATGTCGTCCTTCAGATGAAGAGCTTCCGCGCATTTCTTCCCCAGGACGTATGCCATGCCTTGGATGAATCGTACGGAGACATTGCACCGGCGTCTATGACTGTGTCGATGGTGAGTGCGACGACCGCGTCAACACATGAGGCTCGTTGGACATCGTGGAAGCTGGATCGAACCAAACTGGATTCGCTCATGAAACCAGAGTCGGAAGGCGAAGAGGCGTTGAAACATGCTGTCAGAGCGTTGGAACTCCAACGGAATGAACGTGTGGAAACACATTTCTTTGCGTGCGGGAAACGAGGTGTGCTTTATGCCGGGACGAGCCCATCCCTTATGCCCCCCGTCCTCATCAAGGTCCAAAAGTTGAACGGAATCAAGAACAACCCCATTGACCGAGAAAGTCTATGGCTCCGTCGTATGAATCGGTTACGAATGGGCCCGAAGCTCGTCTTGGAAGGGCCTGGCTACTGCTGTTTCGAATTCCTGGACGGTGTGTTGCATGCTGTGGACTTCCTTCACCATGAAGCGACGACAAAGGCGGATGTCGCGTGGTTTCTGCGCCGCATCTTCCATCAATGCTACGTTCTTGACGTTCTTCGCATCAACAAGGCCGAGATGACGCACCCCATGCGCCACATTCTTGTTCATCAGGGGACCTGTGTGTTCATCGATTTTGAAAAGTGCTTGTACAGCCAGCAACCGCGAAACGTGACGCAACTACTGCAGTTCGTCACATCTCCACGCGTCGTGGCCGCTCTGGCCGCCAAAGGACACTCCATCCAGGTGCCTCTACTTCGAGACACCGCCAAGCAGTACAAGGCAGCTGGCCCGACCTCCGCAGCCTTTGACGCGCTACTGCGAGCACTCAACATTTTCACTCTGCCCAGCATCAAGTTGTAAAGATCAATATGGAGCTCATTTAGCATCCCGAGATGTCGATACGTGTGAAGTATATTCCATGCAGTTGCAGACCGTCATGGCGAGGTTCGTCCTAGTACCCATTGAGAGTGCGCACTCCATTCCAATCTGTCGGCGCCTGGAACTGATGCTCCTTCATAAAGTCCATCACGTGTTTGGTCGGGCCGTCGGTTGGACGAAGTTGTAGCGCATGCGTCAGCGACCCCTTGGCACTGGCCCAGTCCCCAGCCAAGTACTGGTCGACCCCTGCGGCGGCACTCTCGAGGAATTCGGGGTCCAGGCCCTCTCGGATCTCCTTGTACTCTGGGTCGTGCTCAAAGTCGACGGGCTTCTGCACTTGGTTCCCGCGCTCGTCTGTGTCGAACTTTGGTGTGGCAAATCCGTTCTTCGGGTTCGTCACGTCAAACGTGTACACTGTTAGCGGCGTGTCGACCCTAGTTGATCTCGTGAGCATTCGCCACAGAGACGCCTCTCACCCTCGAATCTGGATCGTGTCCATCTTCCGCATGAACTTGCGGGCGCCGGGCGACAGGAGCGCGTAAAGCCAGTGGCTGACGTTGATTTTGGTCTTGAATATCTTGGACCCGGCCTCGAGGCGGTCCGCCATCTCGACGTGGGGGCTGATGTACGTCGCATCGATCTTGAAACGAGACCCGATCGCGCCCTCAATCGCCCACCCCACGTGCATGCCAAACCCCATTTGAATGCGAAACCCTGGCCCAAACCGCTTGATCACGACGTCCTTTACAATGTACTCGTGCAGCACGCCAAACGAATTGGCGTTGTCCAGGTCAATCATGCACTTGAGGAACGCCGTGAGCGCCGAATCCGCCATCTCCGTGGGGGTCACGCGGCGCATCTTCTTGCCGGCACCCGCGTTTGGCGGGCACTTGACCGTTGCATTCACGGCTTTCCGATCCTCCTCGGTCGGGGTGTCGCTGAAGCGCGCGAATCCGGGCATTTCCCCGTCGCAGAGCTTCCACGACAGCAGGAACGCGTCCCCGACGTTCTTGTTGGCCATCCCGTAGTACGCATGGGTGCCGCTGTGCATGATGTGGCCGAGTTTGTTGACATAAACCATCACCTCTTCTTGCAAGCACTCGGTCGTGTCAGTGAACTGCCGAATGTCGCAAAAGCCGTAAATCGACGTGATCTTCTTGCCGGGAAGCATCGGGTCCACGTCCCCGGCGCCCATGTTCTTGCCAATGATGTCCGCCCCGGCCGCCCCGAATCCGACTTGCATCAGCGCTGAAATCTTCTCCAACGTCGACTCGAGCAACGCTGTTTCAAACCCTTGTGCCTTGGCCAGCTTTTGGTCCTCCTGCTCGACGGTCGTGTGCTTAGCCAGTGGATTTGACTCCAATCGATGCACCGTCGCCATCTAACGCACAGCAAGGATGACGCGTCAACATCACGGCGAAGGGACGCACCATGCGCTCGATGGGCTCGAGCACAGTCTTGCGAGCCACACGCACAAACGAAATGGAGGACGCAATCAGCACGAGCATGACAAATGCCGCCTTGACCATGCTGGCCTTTGCCGCGGCTTGAATGTCGCTTTGAATGTCAAAGTACGTGACAGAAGTGCAATTGCCAGGAATTGCAATCGGATCGATGTCCGTCGTGTAGCAGCCCGTGATGCGGATCACGCGGAGGTCGGTGGGGCGGTAGTTGGCCAGCAATTCATCCTCTGACAGATACATATCCTCCGGCCACCATCCCGTCGTCGGATCATGCGTCAAATTCGCAACCTTCAAGTCCAGGCTGCTGAATCGAATCTCGGACGCCCACTGCGTCGTTGTCTCAAATGGAATGTTGCTCATGCGGAGGTACATGAGGTTGTTTGTGGTGCGCGTGATCCAGACCTACCCAACCCCGTCAGCGAACAGCATGCAATCGAACGCTTACTTTCAGCATGCCCATGAAAGCGGCGCATGGCATCGGCTGGAAGTTGAACACGTGAAGAGTCTCGAAGCCCTTGGTCTCGAACGTGTTGATCGGATCGTTGTACCCGCCGTCAAAGGCAGGAAGCACAAAGCAGAGGAAGATGACGATCATGACGACACGACGCGTTGTCATTTCAGCCAACTTGCCACCCGTTTTGGATTCGGCCACCTGCTGCTTCTGCTCTTCGTTGTGGCGCCACTTGACCAACTTGACGATCCGAATGAGGCGAACGATGCGCACGACACGAACGATGCGACCTGTTTTGCCTGCACTCAACGCCGCGACGCTTCGATTGTCGGCGCCAACGATGAGGTCCCATATGAATCCAATGTCTGGAATGAGCGACACGGTGGCGATGATGTCCAGGTAAAAGTAGAACGACGCAAGGTAGAACGGCTTGGCGAAGCACGACAGCAAAAACTCGATGCAAAACAGGCAAAAGAACACGAACGCAACCACGTAAAACCCAAGGTCCGTCGACTTGCTTCCGTACACGACGCGGAGATCATCACCAAAGAGGCAGTATATCGTGATGATGTTCATCAGGCCCGAGAACACATTCGACTCTAGAATTGTCATCGCCCGGCGTTGCCAGAGGGTTGGCGGCGAACCGAGCCGAGTAGTTCCTTGGCGCCGGAGCCCCGATCCTTTGCGTGTGAGTTCCAGGATGGCATTCGTGGACGGATTGTTCGAGCTCACGGGTTTGTCGTGGGTCGGCGCGAGTTCGGGCGAAATCTTACGCGTGTTCTTCATGTTGGGCCCAGTAAGAGGTCCGTCGGATCCTTGCATCGGCAGTACCCAACACAAGGCGCACTGACCGCGTTGTCGTTTCAAACGACATGGTGGCAGCTGCGTAACCGCTAACTAAAAATAGTGTTGTCGCATCGCGTGTGGGCAAGGCAGCGTCAAGTCGTTTAATTTATTGCAAGGTATTTAATACTCCCTCCGTCCCACAATGTTTGCGTAGTTGTGCGGAGGGGAGACATGCCCCATCATTATATTTACAAGTGATATTCAAACTTTACTGTCGCCTTCCTCAAGCTGAATTTGTCGTGTTTGATTGGTGCAATTGAACAAGCGCGCCAAGAGCTTTCAATAAACGTGTGATTGAGGGGGAAAAGCGCACAAACAATGGCTCAAGTCACCCGTGAATTTTACATTCTTTAACTCATATAAATTTTTGACCAACATTCATTATGCGTGACCTGACGAACGAAGACCTCGAGGCCATCCTTCGGGAGATCCTGCTCAACAGCAGCAAGACCTCGCTGACTCGATTGCCGAACGGCATCGCACAGTTGTTAGCGGAAAAGTACGGCTGCCACCACTCGACCATCCGCAGAGTCTTCGCGCAGGCGAAGCAGCAGGGAGTTGTCGACGGTAACATGAAGGTGTTGGTCGCCAGCCGAAAGAAGGGCAAAGTGGGCAGGAAGATGGCCTTTACTGCTGACCAAGTTAAGGCAAAGTTACTTCAAGTGCCAAGTGAAGGCAAAGTTACTTCAAGTGCCGCTTGCTCAGCAAAATATACTTCGGTCAATTTGGGAACAGACAGGTAGTTCAACAGCATTTACTTTCTGCAAAGGCAAACAATCAGGGTCTATAGGAATAAGTCGCGGTTCTCTACACCTGTACCTTAAGCTGGGTCTATTTCGTTCGCATTTAAATGCCATCCGTCCGTTCTTGACTGAAGCCAACAAATACTGCCGCATGAAATTTGCGTTCAAGATGGTACGGGCGAACATGGAGCTGAACGATATGATGCAGTCTGTTCACCTGGACGAGAAGTGGCTTTACCTTACCAAAACCACGCGAAAATATTACCTGGTCACTCGAGAAAACGAACCAAAATGCACGTGCAAGTCGAAGAGGTATATTACTAAAGTGATGCTCCTCAGTCTGTGGCACGGCCACGTTTCATTGATAGCACTAGCATGTGGTGAGACGGCAAGCTTGGAACGGGAACGTGGCCCTTTGTTGAGTCCACCAAGCCCAGCGAGACAGTGCCAATCGTGCAGCAAGGACCAACGAAACGAAGTCAGTTGTCGTGACCAAAGACGTGTACCGCACATTCCTCATCGATAAAATCTTGCCGTCGATTGTCGCCAAGTGGCCTTGTCCCGACCGGAACGTGAAGCTGCAGCACGACAACGCCCTGGCGCATGTCACCCCATTCGATGCGACGGTTCTTGCCGCCTTCGCCATCTACAGCACTGCAGGTTGGACGTTCACGATCGAGCTGCAGCCAGCAAACTCATCGGACATGACTTACAGTCACTACAACACAGAACGTCAGCGCGCAACGTGGATGAACTGGTGGCAAACGTGGAAGCCGCTTTCGTCGACTATCCCTCCGAGCGCTTGGATCGTACCTTTCTCACGCTCCAGGCGTGCATGATCGAGACGCTGAAATGCCGGGGCGACAATGCCTACAAGGTGCCCCACCAGGTCAAGGAGAAACAAGCGCGCCAAGGACGCCTACCTGAAAGCTTGCTGTGCCCACTGGATGTCTACAAGAATGTCAAGGGCGAGCTGGACGCCGTCGACCGTACCGAAATGGAGCGGGTCGTTGCTGAAGAGCTGCATGGACGAGCCGGCACAAGAGCTCGAACGAATTGCCCTGAGTGACAACGAAACGATGGATGAGTTGATGGCTGAGATTGGTGTGATTGGACTTGACCCAATTAGATTAGAAGATGACGATTAAGTACAAACCGATGCGTGCTGTGGGTATTGTGTGAAGTTGTTGGGCTCGTTAGGAGGGTTCCTGAGGTAAACCTCTCTCCGCAATCTAATGGCACAGTCAGATTTGCCATATCTCGTTGTTTGATTGGTTCTGCGACACGTCTTTTCTGTGATCTGTGATTTCATTGGTCAATTGTATCGTTACACCTTTGAAGATGAACGTGTGGAATAAATTTCTGAAGGTGCTTTGTTTTTATTCAAGGCGCCGTTTATCCATTTTCTGATCTACGTAAGTAAAATGGGACGGAGGGAGTATAACGCCAGAGAAACGTTTCATATTATCTCACCTGGATAAATGGTTTTTTCATATATCTGCATCAACAAAAAATTCGTTCAATGTGGTGCGCCACCACAACGTGATTGGGGTGTAGGCGTCGTAACAATAGAGAGATTTTGCAACTTGTCCAGTCACGATCCATTCCTACAGCTCTGGGACACATCTCGCGCGCCAGCTAATGTGTGGAAATCCAGCTATTGGGTTTTGCAAATTTCCATTCCCATTCCATAGCTTTATCCGGTTTTGGTACTAATATCCGGCTCACCATCAGTTCGATTGGCATGGCGCTCGCGCAGAGTGACGTGGCCATGTTGATGCCCTTTGCACGAACGACCAAACAACGGCAGTTCCTTTTGACTCTGTTGGCGTCGCAGGTGGTCGAACGACCACTTATCCCTGCCATTCGCTTCAAGTTGGACACTATTTCTGACGCAAACGCCATGCTGGATTTCCGCTTCGACGTCAAGGGGATCAAACAGCTTGGCAAGCTCCTGGCCGTACCAGCAATCATAATAACGGAAGCGCGGAACAAAGTTCACCGTGATGAGGCTGTGTGCATTCTCCTTGGCCGTTTGGCCTTTCCAACGCGATTCCATGACATGGCGAAAACGTTTGGCCGTTCACGACCGTCCCTGTGCGATGTGTTCCTCCACATCGTCAACCTGCTGTACGATGCGTGGGGAAAGCTGCTCTTCTTCAACTTGAAACTGGTGGCCAAAAACATGGACTCGTACTGCCACGCTGTTGCTCGTAAAGGGGCCCCTTTATCAAACGTCTTTGGATTCATCGACGGAACAAAATTGCAAACATGCCGAATCAAAAGCACCAACAACGGAGAAGACCTGCAAAAACTCGTTTACAGTGGCCACAAGCGCATCCATTGTCTGAATTATCAGGCCGTCACGTGCCCCGACGGAATC